TGAAAGGGACCCTAATGTAGAGAACTACCCATTGAATCGTTTACGGCATGTCTCGTGGCAGTTGTAGAGCTTGCTGTAGCCCTTCTGCTCGTGGTCCCAGCACCTTTCGGACTCTTCTTGGCTCTGGCTTTAGGGTTTGGAGTTTAGGGCTGTAGGGTTTAGGGTTTGGAGTTTAGGGCTTTAGGGTTTAGGGTTTGGAGTGTAGGCTTTAGGGCACAGGGTTTGGGGTTTAGGGCTTGGGGTTGGCTCTGGGGTTGACTTGGGATCAGTATAAGATGAGCGACTTGAGGCTGCATGGCGCTTCTACATCTCCGACAACTACAGCCACATCAACATCATCAACAATAACATTTGTGACATCACCACCACCACTACCACTACCGTCGTCCTCACCTCAACAGTAAGCGTGCAACACTCGACGACAGGCCGGGAAGGTGAGAGGTTGATCCTTAGCATCAAAGCTTTTATTCGACCTATGCCAGGCAAAAGCCATCTGAGCCCGTGACCATTTCTTTTTCGTTGCGTTCCAGGCCGTTTCCTGGCGTCTTCCCAATGTTTTGGGGTTGTGGGAGGTTGGGAATAGCATTTAGGGTGATGAGCTTGGGCTCAGGGGTTAAGGCTTCAGGGCTCTATGGTTTAGGGGGTTGGGACTTTGGGATTGGGCTGCTAAAGCACTTGATGACCAAGACGTCAGGTTTGAACAGAATCCGCTAAGCCGTACACCAAGCCCTAGGCAGTGTTGCCTGGCCGTTTCGACTCCAACACCTTCCAAAGGACTAACGCGCCCCACTCGGGGCCTCTCATAAAAATCCGAGGTATCTCCTTGGGAGGGTTTAGGAGTTTAGGATTTAGGGTGCAATTGGGGTTATCGGTTATGGGTTTTGAGCTTAGGGTTTAGGACGTAGTTGGTGTTTGTCACTCCGTGGGACCTCAAACATGCGACTCTTAAAGGTCCAACAGCTCTAGGACCATTCAGGCCCCGAGCCCCGAACCTTCGTCCCCCCATAAACCATGAACCTTCAACCGGCATGACACGACGGTGCAGGGCTTAGGGTCTTACTGGAGGGTATGATATAGATGGAAAGTGTCACGACTCTTTGAACCCTGAAGCCTGAACGCTGGATCCTGGCCACTCGTTCGCCCCAAAATCCACAAAACCGCGGCTCCAACAAAGAAAGACCAAAACCCAAAGCCCTAAAACCCATTCCCCTCCAAGCACAACCCTGTAAACCCTACGAATCACAGCCCGGGCGCCCAGTTTTCAAGGCCGAGGTCACAGTTGAAGAATTGCTCGCAGCCCTTGTGCTTGTGGCTGCAGCACCTCGGGGCTCGGGGCTTCTGGGGCTCCTAAGCGCTTCTGTTGAGGTTCGGGGCCGGTTCTGAGGCTTGGTAGGGTTTTGGGTTTTGGGTTTAGGGATTTTGGGTTTAGGGGCTTTGGGTTTAGGGCTTGGGGCTGAGAGGGTTTAGGGTTTAGGGTTTTCCGGTGCTTTTGGGGTTCGGGGTTTTCCGGGTTTAGACTTAGCCTGTGGGGGTTTAGACTCAAGACAGCTGCCGGGGCAGGTCGTGCCTCAACCTGAGATTTTAGGTTATGCTTTCACTTTTACTTAACTTTCGAGTATATGTACACACTAAGGACTTCAGGGTTGTGGGATGTAGGATTTCTGGAGCTTCAGGGGGCTAGGGGGTTTAGGGTGTAGGTTCTTGGGTTCAGGACTACGTCCACGATCTTGGGCCAAACAAGGGGCCACAAAAAATAGAATGCGATTTTGGAGCATAGTGGGATATCACTGGGTTCTTAAAAGGTGTCCTTGCAGGGTTCAGAAAGGGCCTTAGGTCTTAGGGGGTTGCTTTTATGTCGGCAGCCGTGGAGCCGGTCGTATGGTAGCTTGAGGCTTGAGTTTTCTGGGGCTGCTTCGATGTCGTTTAGGAAGATATGAGGGTTCTATCATTATGATTTGTTGCGGTACAGGTAGGACCAAGAGCAGAGCAGAATCGTCTGAGGGCCCCTGCCAGTCCTTCTTATCGGCCGACCAGCCACGATCCTTGGCAGTCCCTAAACCCACAAAACGAAACCCGAAATCCTCAAACCTAAACCCTGAACCCTCAAACCCTAAACCCGCAACCCTAAACTCTCAACCCTAAACCCTAACGGTCCCTGTAACACTTCCTCAAAAGGTTGGATCAACGGCTACCACAAGAAAGGTGTAGTATGGAGGTTCTAAAAGAATAGGCTTTGGGGGGGTATACTCGACTTGAGGTATGCCGACATATTCCGACCCATACAGGAATATTCCGACCCCTACAGGGAGGGTTTCGGGGTCCACGGCGGCCCTTTGGGAATTCCATAGCGCTGAGGGTTCGGGGATCCACGGAGCGTTGGGGGCATAGGGCGGTTTAGGGAATGGCTTCAAGTTACCATGCCGACCCAGAGAGCCCAAATGCCCCCTTTAGTTAGAAGGAATGTGGGGTTTGAGGGTTGTCGGATTCGGGTTCAGGGTTTACGGTTAAGGGTGCGTTCTATCAACCAGCTATGGTTGAAGGACGTTGCAGGCTTATACTCCTCAATTACGGGGTCTTTGGCTCTTTGCGGAAGCGTGCGAAGACAGAGGCCCTCAACTCTGAAGAGTCCCCGGCTGACGCCCCTGAAACCTCAGTTTGTCTGGGACTTCGACTTCGTGTTTGCAGGGCCTCTTTAGAGCCCACACAGTTCGGGTTTAGGGTTTTGGGGGTTTGGGGTTTGGAGTTTGGGGTGTAGGGTTTAGGTAGAGGGGTTGGGGTGCAGGCCCTCTTAAAGGCGAATATAGGGGTGCTGGGCTTTTTCGGGGCCTCAATCCCAGACCCTCCCATGAGGGCCCGGGCCGCGTTCTCCAGGCCTTTGTCACAGTCGAACATGTCGTCATCTACCTGCTGGTCGGTGTCCCAGCACCTTCAGCCGAAAGCCATAATGTAAGGGGGCCTTTCTAATTTTAATAGGGTTTTGGGGTACAGTAGACTATAACTACAACAGGGAATCCCAAAATGGACAGGGAACCCCAAAATGTATCAAGGTAATTATTGCGGCCCCTAGTTAGTAGTCCCGAATCCCAGACTCTCCATCTATTCGCCCCTAAGCCCCACTAGGCTCAACAGAAACAAGGGACTAAGCATTGCCCCCAATGAAACTTGCACGAGGCGAAGAGCCCAGAGCGATTCTTGCATGATTACGACGGGTTGAGTCACAAAACAGCTGCGTTTATATATACATGGTCCCATGCAAGTACGTGAACCAATGCACAACAGCAACAATTCCCCTAAAGAGTGCGGTGCTCTTACACCACCAGGAGAAAAGATACCCCCAACTCGAAAATCCTAAAATAAACCCAAATCCAATCCTGAAAGGATTCATGGGCCCCAGACCCTAAGCCCTAAACCCTACTCCTAAACCTTAAACCCTCAAGTCAACCTTGGACCTAAACCCTAAACCCTAAACCGAATCCTAAACCCAGTCCTAAACCCTAAACCCTAAAGCCGAATCCTAAACACTAAACTCTGTAAAGGCCCGCACCAGCTCTTCTTTTGAAGACTCCAATCATGCTCCTCGGCATGTCCGGGGCATCGGATTTGGGGTCTTTGGCCTTAAGGGATCAAGGTCTAGGGCTTTTGGGCTTAGGGTTTAGGCTTTAGGGCTTGGGGTTTTGGGTTCAAGGTTTAGGGCTTTTGGGCTTAGGGTTTAGGGTCAGGGTTTAGGGATTTGGGCTACGTCGGCCGGTGCAGGAATCCTACATCTTGCTCCCGGGGCTGCTACCGTTTTTCTCCGGTTCCCACAGCCTGTGATCCCACTCAATTACCCCTTCATGAACTTTAGACATCCCTAAAAAAGGCATAGCACGAAGCTGCTTTGGGCTTCAGGTGTGCTCCTTACTTAAGGGGGTCTTGGGCTCCATGGGAACCCCTGGACTTCTTCGGGGGGGAGGGGGGTTTAGGGTTTAGGCTCCAGAAGTTCAGGGCTCGGAGTCCAGGGCTTAAGGTTCTGGGGTTTGGCGTTTGGGGCTTCGGGGTTTAAGGGCTTAGGGTTTTGGGTTTAGGGTTTCGGGCTTTGGGTTTAGGGTTTAGGGCTTAGGGTTTAGTAGTTTCTGAAGAAAGATGATGACCGGCCATGGCCCGAAAGGTTAGAAAGAAACCCAGAACAAACTGGACCCACTGTCACAGGCTCTCCCCGTAAACCCTAAACGCGAAACCCTAATGCAAGGTGTCCGGTTTGTCGAGGTTCCGCGAAAGTTTTTCACAGTCTACGGGTGAAACAGATCGCCAAGAATCGAGAATCGAGCAAGATCCAGTGCTCATGCCTCTTCGAAAGCCCAGTGTATTGCAACACCCTAAACCCTAAACCCTAACAACCGTACTGGCAGGACCTTAAAGGCGCAACGCATGGCAAGCCACTGCTCCCGTGCTGCCTACATTGGCACAGCTCGGCAAGCAAATTCAGTTTGGAGTTCGGCATCACAGCACCAAGGCATGTGAGCTCATGCACCTAAGAACCCTAAACCCCTAAGCCCTGAACCCTAAACTCGGAATCCTAAATTCTAACTCCTAAACCCTAAAGCCCTAAATCCTAAAGCCACATGCCACGCAATTCAATATTCAAGCTCACAGGTCTCGCCATCATCCTCCGCGCAGCTTGTTGGCGAGGCCTGGAAGAGATCCTACTTTTGCTTGGACGATGAGGATGATGAAAGCAGCGATGATGCTGGTTATGGCACGATGGTGAGGGTGAGGGTGAGGGTGACGGTCAGGGTGATGGTGATGATGATGATGATGATGATGGTGGGGATGGGGTGAAAGATAAAGCCCTAAACCCTCAACCCTGAACCCTGAACCCTGAACCGTTACTGAACCCTGCCGCCCAAAAGTCCTAAATCCTTTAAACTTCCTAAACCCTGAAACCCCCAACCCTCAACATCCAACTCTCCAAACTTCTGAACGCTCAAAACCCCCAAAAGAACCCAAAATGAACTCGCGACCTCCAGGCCGACGATGTCTTCGCTGACCTTCCACAGCTGCTTCGACGCCTTGTCTTTTGGGGTTTGGGGTTTCGGCGGGTTTTCCGGGCTTTTGAGCTTCAGGGCTTGGGTGTAGGGTGTTGGGGGGACCCAACCACCCAAAATTCACTCTCAGGTCGCATAAATCGCCGTGGCTGGCCCGAAACCCTACAGTATCTCTGGCTACCAGGTTGGGGTTTGCAGCTGCTCATCCTCAATGGCCCTACCAGGCACCTCCATCTCAATTACAGGGACACGGAAGCCTTCTACATCTAAGGCACCTCCATCTCAATTACAAGTATACGCTACATCTAGAACCCGCGGGCCGTAGATCCTGTTACACGATCGCCTGCTCGTCCAGGCTTACCGCCGGCAGCCAGTTTGTAGGCACCCTTCCGCAGAAGGCTGCGGCGCGCCCACATTTGGTAAAGGCCTGACCAAGGGCAGTAGTGCGTAGTGGCAATCAGTCTAAACCCTCCTCCCTACACCCTGAAACCCCAAAACCCTAAGCCCGTTTTCGAGATAGAAACCTGGGCTGGGGAATATAGATGTCAGGCTTGACTGGGATGTAATGTAGGAACCGTCATATTTAGAACAGGGCCCGGCGGCACATTCTTAATCGTACTCTAAGGAATGCCAAGGAATAATCTGGGTAATGACATCGCATTGCACTATGACAGGGGCCCGGCGACTCAGGAGATCGAGCTATGAGCTGCTGGCGTCGGGTTCAGGTTTTGGGGTTCAGGGCTTCGGGGTTTAGGGTTTCAGGGATGCAGGCTTTGGTGTTGTTTCTTCGTTGTCGCCTGAGTCTCTGCACCCTAATCTCTACTGATTTGTTGGCGTCGGGTGTGTTCATTCAGGGTTGCACGCTGAGCCCTCTACCGTCCTCTGCCCTCGACCGCTGGCTGGCTTGCTTGCTTGCTCTCTTGCTTGCATGGGCATGTGTATACAAACAAGTAAATATGTAAATAAACCGAATATATGTATATATATATACACGTACACACATACATTTTTTGGGGGTCGTATATGTGTAATGACGACAAAGGGAGACTATTACTCATTATTCATATCCCTCTGCTCTGGCAGAGTCTAGGGATCTTAAGCGCTTGCCTCTGTGAAATGCCCCATACCGCAATTCTCCGTGCGCCTGGGACTTCTAGCCATTGCCATAAATCTCATAACCTTCAACCCTAAACAGACCCCCAACATAAGAGCCTTGATAATTGGAACGGGCTTTGCGGGGAGTATATGTCATGCATTCTGATTGTAATGTGAGGGAACTATAAGAGTATACAGTCTTGGAGTGATGCTGTGGCTAGTTGTTGACGCGGGCTTCTGGTGCCAAATCCCCCTAAAACCCTCAACCCTAAATTATGCCCTAAACCCCTTGCCAGAGCTCGTGCAGTAGAGCTACCGTCTCCGTGTCGTCGAAGAGGCCACCTCCACTAGCCTGGCACAGGGCTAAAATGCCTCAAAGCTCAGTCAAGCATAGGTAGTTGTCGGGTTTCTGTTAGGGTCCGGTTTACAAGGGTGCCGTACTATTTTTCGCCGACCTGAAATAGGATTCTAATCAAGCAAATATTGCACATAGAGGGGCCTTAATTAAGAAATCAGGGTTCTTGGGCGTTACAATGTAAGTATATACGGACTCCACGGGTCTCCGGGCTCCAGGGAGAACCTCTGGTTGTCCGGGCTGACGCATACTTCTAAGATCAAAGCCTTGAGAACAAAGAGTTTGGGGGTCCCTCAACCCTGCACAAAACCACGATTTTGAAAATCGGCTCTTCATTTTCGGCGCCGTGATCCCGAATTCTGTAAGAGGGTGCAGGGTTTGGGTTTAAGGCTTATACGTGATCTACTATCCGGGGGGCCGAGGTCTACAAGGCGCAGGCCCAAAATTAAACCAAACCCCCGTCTTCCCCTACAACCCAAGTCCTCAACCCGAGACCTTGAAAAAGTAAACCACACTGAAACAACAGCTGGGTCCGAGCCTGAAACCAAAACCGCCCTAAACCCCGATCGCTCAAAACCTAAACCCAAAACCTCAAATCCTCCAAAACCCCCAAAAGCCTACATCCACAACCCAAAACCCCCAAACCAACAGCTCCCAGACGCCTCCAACGCCGGGCTCGTCGCGACATGAAGGATCGCCCCCGCCCCGTGCTGCACAGACCTCATGGTCATCTCCCGAAATCGAGTGCCGAGAAACCCAAAGACCTGGCCAGAGAGGGGTACAGGGTGTGCCTGTAGCCGGAAAGACCTACTTATTATGGTTTCTATGTATAGTTCCTGCAAAAAGTAAGTCTTTTCGGTTACAGGTAGGTTTAGGGTTTAGGGTTTAGTTTCGGGTTTAGGGGTTAGTTTAAGGTTTAGGGTGCAGGGATTCAGGAAATTCGGGGATTCAGGTGTAGAGGGAAAGTGACTAGGGGTACTGTTAAAAGTCTGGTGCGTAGATTCAAGATTTTGGGCTTCAAGCGTAGGGTTCTATGGTCTGTCTAGCTAGGGTTGAAGCTTCAGAATTCAGAGTCAGGGCTGCCTAAACCTAAACCTCGAAACCTAAACCGTTTTGGGCCTGTGCAAGTCAAGTCTTGGGCTCAGTTGAACTCTCCAGTTCATTTTTCCGTAAGCCCTTCTCTAAACCCTGAACCCTGCCTAAACCCTAAAAACCTGTCTTTTTCAGGACTTATACAAGGGAATCATCTGCTCATGCATATCCTAAAACCCTAAACCCTAAAAAGGCAGCTTCTTTATACTATTAAGTGTACATCCTAACACCCTAAACCCTCCAGTCCCTCTTTCTCCCCGAACCCTTCCCACCTTCCCTGCAATCCAGACCGGCGGGAGATATGACATGGCAGAGCGCTCCGAGGTGGCGCCCAGCGACTTCTGAAAGTCAGTAAGAACCTCAAAGTTAAACTGTTTGGGGTTTAGGGTTTAGGGTCGGGCTTGGAGTTCAGATTTAGAGTTTGGGGTTTAGGGTTTAGGTGTCAACTGTCCAGTTTGCTACCAGTAGGAGAACTTAAGGAAACTATTTTGGGATCATCTACAAGCTCTAGTGCCCAAACCGGGTTAGGCCTTGTTCCTCTGCTACTGAGAAGCGGTGTTCGGGTTGATGGCATGGGAAGTAATGCCATCGTTTTCGGCCGCATTCCGTAGGCGCCTTTCCATCTCCAGGCTAAAGGTGAGGCTGGCCAACTTCCTGGATCTTGGCTCTTCTTTGTAAGCTTCTGTTGAAAAACATTTAATGAAGAATCTGCTTTGACCCCTGTCCCCAAACACTGAAAATTAAAACCCGAAAGCACTACACCCCAAAACCATTAACCAACCCAGATCCTAACAGCCCCCCCTCCTCAAAAACAAGAATATATATATATATAATTATATATAGAGCCTATGGACCCCTGAACGATACTCTAGCCCCTAAACCCCAAAGCACCCTTACAGCTTTCTTTCCGGGCCCTCCAAAATGGAAAAAAAAAAAAAGGCCCAGCTTCACCCTATACCCTAAACCCTA